TCAATTTCAAATTTTGAAAAGCGATATCTATCAAAATTTAGTACATTTACTCAACCCAAAAATACAAAGCCTAAAAATTAATCCTATATCTACTGTGTGAATTAACGTATATCAAGCTTATTCATTATAGCACTGTGCTAGAATCAAGATTACCAGGAGAAATAACAACCTCAGATATGCAGAAGACACCACCCCTATTGCAGAAAGCAAAGAACTAAAGAGTCTCTTGATGAAAGTGAAAGAGGAGATTGAAAAAGCTGCCTTAAAACTCATCATTCAGAAAACTAAGATCATGGCATCCGGTCCCACTGCTTCATGGAAAACAGATGAGGAAACAATGGAAACAGAGACACTTTATTTTGGGGGCTCCAAAATCACTGCAGATGGTGACTGCAGCCATGAAATTAAAAGACGCTTGCTCCCTGGAAGAAAAGCTATGACCAACCTAGACAGCATATTAAAAAACATTGACTTTACTTTGCCAACAAAGGTCTATCTAGTCAAGGCTATGGTTTTTCCAGTAGTCATGTATGGATGCGACAGTTGGACTATAAAGAAAGCTGAGCACTGAAGAACTGATGCGTTTGAACTGTGGAATTGGAGAAGACTCTTGAGAGTCCCTTGGACTTCAAGGAGATCCAACCAGCCCATCCTAAAGATCAGTCCTGGGTGTTCATTGGTAGGACTGATGTTGAAGCTGAAACTCCAACACTTTGGCTACCTGATGCCAAGAGCTGACTCATTTGAAAAGACCCTGATGCTGAGAAAGATTGAGGGCAGGAGGAGAAGGGGAAGATGGAGGATGAGATGGTTGGATGGCATCACTGACTCAACGGACATGGGTTTGGGTGAACTCCGGGAGTTGGTGATGGACAGGGAGGCCTGGCGTGCTGCGGTTCATGGGGTGGCAAGAGTCGGACATGACTGAGCGACTGAACTGAAGATGTGATGGCTGGATCGCATCTCCAACTCAATGTACATGAGTCTGAGCAAACTCCAGGAGATGGTGAAGGACAGGGAAGCCCAGCATGCTGCAGTTCATAGGGCTGCAAAGAGTCAGACACAACTTAGTGACTGAACAACAACTGTTTGTAATGAACAAGATCAGAAAGAACCCAAATACCCATATATAAAAACATCATGCAGCTATAGGTATAAAAAAATCTACATATATTAATATGGAAAAATCTCCAAGAGATTTTTTAAGCACCAAAAAAAGCAAGAATATTAAGTAGCATGCTACCTTCTGTTAGAAAGAAGAGAAAATTAGAACATATAATTGTTTTTGCTGATATCTAATGTGGATAGGGACTGAGATAAAACATTTCCATGTATGAAGGTGTGTGTGTACATATATGTAGTTTTGATTTTTGAACCACATAGATGTTGTTCAGCCAATGACTCTTTTGCAACCACATGGACTATAGCCTACCAGGCTCCTGTGTCCATGGGATTTCCCAGACAAGAATACTGGAGTGGCTGCCATTTCCTCCCCCAAGCAATCTTCCCGACCCCTCTGGGTCAAACCCCCTTCTCCTGCATCAGCAGGCAGATTCTTTACCACTGAGCCACCAGGGAAGCCTCCAACTATTCAAATAATACATTTTAAAGAATAACATTAGTTTAGGCTCACTGTAAGGATTAAAGAATTTACAAATGTATACAATATAAAATCTCTAAGACAGTGTTTTACACAAAGTGGGTGCTGCTATGTCCTGTTGCTGGTCTTTTTAAATGTCATCCAAATGGTGCAGTAACACAAACAAATAAAAGAATAAATATGAAACACTTAAGACTTAATATTTTCAGCTCTAGGAATAAAAAATAAATAAAAATATAAAAATTGGACAAATATATATATACACATATATACACACATATATATATATATAAATGAACTGTTGAAACAACCCAAAAACTCAAAAATAGGGAAATATTCAATAAACTATAGCATGCCTATATTTATAAAGCATTTTTAAGGACAGAGAAAATGCTCAAAATATACTTTATAATCTCAAATGTAATCTCGAAGGGGACAAAGCAGTGGGGGTGGGGAGTGAGGGACTGGGGAGCAGAGAGATGTATGCAGAAATAAAAGACCTAAGTAAAGTACAGCAGTAAACTTTTATAGAGGGGTTGTTGGCAAATTTATTTTCTCTTTAATTCTTTTCTGTATTTTTCAAATTTTCTTTTAATCATGTAATCCTAAAAAGGAAAAGAAAGAAAGAAAAGGAAAGAAAATAGGTTTTTGGATCAAAGAAAAGCAAGTTCAAATCCCATATAATATACACAATTTTAGACAACTTAAGTAAGCTATTAAAAAGCCACCAGAACTATAAATTGAAGATGATACAGAAATTCGAGGAATCTTTTAAGGATTAGAGACATTATATGTAAAAAAGACCTAGCTAATATCTTAAACACAGTGAACACTAAGTAGTATTATTCTCATACATTATATCTGTGCAACATCTTCTCCTATATAAAATTATATTAAGGGACTTCCCCAGCGGTCCAGTGGTTAAAAACTCTGAGCTTCCACTGCTGGGGAAGTGGACCAGGAAGTGATCCCTGGTCATGGAACTAACTATTCGATCCCACATGCCACATGATGTGGCCAAAAAAAGAGAGAGAAATAAAATCATACTGTATTTTATCATTCTAAGACACTATTCATTTTACGATGTAAGCAAGTTTTAGAAATGTTGAAATGTGAAAAATGATCATCTTAGATTTGATGAAATTCATTGTAAGTTTAGTGAAATAAATGCCACTTTCCATATGTATCTTTTTTAAAAATTTATTTATTTTAATTGGAAGCTAATTACAATATTGTAGTGGTTTTTGCCATACAATGGCATGAATCAGCCATGGGTGTACATGTGTTCCCCATCCTGAACCCCCCTCCCACCTCCCTCCCCATCCCATCCCTCTGGGTCTTCCCAGTGCACCAGCCCTGAGCACTTGTCTCATGCATCCAACCTAGACTGGCGATCTGTTTCACATTTGATAGTATACATGTTTCAATGCTATTCTCTCAAATCATCCTACCCTTGCCTTCTCCCACAGAGTCTGAAAGACTGCTCTTTACATCTATGTCTCTTCTGCTGTCTCACATATAGGGTCATCATTACCATCTTTCTGAATTCCATATATGTGTGTTAGTATACTGTATTGGTGTTTTCCTTTCTAACTTAAAAATATGGAACGCTTCACAAATTTGCGTGTCATCCTTGCACAAGGGCCATAGCTAATCTTTTCTGTATCGCTCCAATTTTAGTATAGGTGTTGCCAAAGCAAGCACTCCATACATCTCTTTTTTATTTACTACGTGTGTGTGCTAAGTTGCTTCAGTCATGTCCAACTCTTTGTGACCCCATGGACTGTAGCCCACCAGGCTCCTCTGCCCATGGGATTCTCCAGGCAAGAATACTGGAGTGGGTTGCCATGCCCTTCACCAGGGGAATCTTCCTGACTCAGGGATTGAACCACTGCAGGCAGATTCTTTACCTCTGAGCCACCAGGGAAGTCTTTACTTATTTACTACAATGGAGTGCAAACTGCATTGGAAGCAGGTATTAAAAATAAAAGGATTGAGAATTTCTTGGCAGTCCAGTAGTTAGGACTCAGCACTTTCACTGTCAGGGCCTGGGTTCAATCCTTGGTCGGGGAACTAGAATCCTGCAGGCTGTGTGGCCTGGCCCAAAGGAAAAAAAAAAAAAAAAAGGACCGTTACTATATGAAATACACAAACGGAGAATAAGCACATGAAAAGATGCTCAACGTGACTAATTAGGGAAAAGCAAATCAAAACCACAATAAGAAACTGGAATCTTTGTGCAGTGCTGATAGAAATAAAAAACGATGCAGCCACTATGGTTAACAGTACAGCAATTCCTCAAAAAATTAAAAATAGAATTACCATATGATCCAGAAACCTCACTTCTGGGTATGTGTCTCAAAGAACTGAAAGCAGTTATTTGTACAGTCATGTTCACAAAAATATTAGTCACAAAAATCACAAGGCAGAAACAACCCAAGTATCCACCAATGAATGATTAAACAAAATCTGGTATATACATAAAATCAAATGTTTTCAACTTGGGAGAAAAAGAGGAAATTCTGACACACACTACAATATGGACGAATCTTGAAAACATTACGCTAATTGAAAACAAGCCAGTCACAAAAAGACAAATACTACATAGCTCCACTTACAAAGTACCTGGTGGTGGTTGTCGTGGTTTAGTCGCTAAGTCATGTCTGACTCTTGTGACCCCATGGACTGCAGCCCACCAGGCTCCTCTGTCCAAGGGGTTTCCCAGGCAAGAATACTGGAGTGGATTTCCATTTCCTTCTCCAGGGGATCTTGCCAACCCAGGGATCGAACCCAGGTCTCCTGCATTGCAGACGGTCTCCTGCATTGCAGGCAGATTCTTTACCAACTGAGTTACCATGGAAGCCCTATGAGGTATCTAGAGTAGTCACATTCATAGAGACAGAACATACAATGAAGGTTGCAAGTAGCTGGTGGGAGGAAAAATAAAAATTGCTGCTTAGTGGCACTAGAGTTCCAGTTTTACAAGATGAAAAGAGTTCTCAAGATTGCTTGCATAATAGTATAAATGCACCTAATGCTACTGAACTGCACATTTAAAAATGGTGAAAATGGTAAATTTTATGCTATATATATTTTACCACAGTAAAACAAAATTAACATGAAAGGATTGTAATAGTGAGAACAAGTCTATTTAAATAACATAATTATCTGAAAATAACTGTAATAACAGATTGTGTAAATTCACTTAAGGTAGGAAGATTTTTGATAACAACAACAACAAAAAAACCATGAAACAAATAAAAACCAAGTTAAGTTTTAAACTACTTTAACAAACACTTTGAACTATTTAAAACGCCAAAGGAAATTTAAATACTGTAAACATAATATGCTCTGAGCAATAAACTAATTAGTCAATGTCGTTATTTTTTAGTTTTTTTACCTGGCAGAGAGAATAGTACCAAGACAGAGGAAGATCAAACACTCTCAGTGCTGCTGTCTTCAAGGAAAACTGTGATTCACTCACTGTTTCTTCTGACATGACTCCTCTTCTATCTTAATTCAATGAAACACAAAATATATTAACCACAAAGATTTCTAGTTATTCTACCAAATGAAAGATACAAATTGAAAATTTAACTCTTCTTTTAAAAAGCTTTTTTTCTCGCACTTAATTAATCATGATATTACACTAACCTGAAGAAAATAATATTCTGAGCCAAATTTACTTAAGCTAAAAGTTTATTTATTAGCCAAAATAGCCAAAAAGAAAATGAGTTAGATTTGAACTTTGAGTTCAGCTAGTCAACTTTCCTTAAAAAACTGTACATTCTACATTCTCTCTCTTCTGGTGAAATAAATGTTTCAGCTTTTAAATAGTAATTTAAAATACTCTTATTTCCACATTTCCTTCCAATAACAGCAGAGATTGAGGGGGGGCACTGAAAGAAATTTGATTGGAATCTTGAGTTTAGGGGCTAGAAATGAACCTCAGGGCTCACTGAACTTCATAGTTCAAGCATTTATCTTCCTACTGCTCCATTTAAAAAAAAATTTATTTTATATTGGACTATAATTGGTATTACTGTCCCATTTTTAAGCTCTTGAAAGAAATGACACATACCTGCTATGAAATTCTAATAGTGCTTTAATGCCTATTTCTACTGAAACCAAAGAAAGAAATGTCAGTTGTTCACAGAGAAGGCAGTCATCACTGAGAGAGACGCTTAAAGGTAGCAAAATGCAGATAAAAACACAATGGTCTGGGGTCTAGGTCTATGCTTTATAGAGCCAGAAACTCAAGTTTTATACATGTACCCAACTGGACACACATTAAACAAATTCACACAATACTGATATATAAATTAAGTCTACAAATTTGTTCATTTATATTAAGGAAATACACTATCTAGTGAAAGAAAACTTTTTAAAATTTATTTATTTTCTAATTGAAGGATAATTGCTTTACAAAATTCTGTTTTCTGTCAAACCTCAATATGAATCAGCCATAGGTACATGTATCACCTCCCAATCTTTTATATGCTCTCAAAACATAGCCTTTCTGAAATAAGACATTGTAGGGAGTTGAATTAAGTATAAAAGGCTCTGGGGTAAGCACAAACTTAGTGGGTCCTTAACAGTATTTCATACAGGCTGGGAAAAAGCCTGAGAACTGTTTCTGATGTATTATACAAGAGTAGGCCTCCCCACTAACTAGAATGTTTATGCCTACCAAATTTAATATTTCTTTTCCTTGGATGGTACTGTACAAACTACCAAACAGAAAATTAAAATTACCAACAATCCCTCTATAGCTTATTTGCTATACTTTAAGTCCTTTATTTCTGCTCTTTTTCTAACCTTTCTTTTAATAACCCTATTTTTTTTTCAGAAGACTATCAAAACCACTGATTAAATACTAGTTTCCTTTCATATCAAACACAGTAATATTTCTTAAGGTGAGTTACTGCTACTAACAGTTTACTTTTTCCCTATCAATGACATCCAAGGAGTGGAAACTTAATTTTCCCCACACTCATATTCTAACTACAATTTTTCGGCTTAGTATAATCAGTACATTAATTCCAACTGACAGGGAGGGGGGATCGGGACGGGGAACACATGTAAATCCATGGCCGATTCATGTCAATATATGGCAAAAACCACTACAATATTGTAAAGTAATTAGCCTCCAACTAATAAAAATAAATGGAAAAAAAAATAATTTCAACTGACAAACTGTGGTACAGACACATTAATGAGAAATACAAGGAAACCATGAAGAAACTGTTAAACAAGCGAAAAATAAGTCTGAGGAATGAGTAGGAATGCAGGGTGGCAGGAAACCACTATTTTTCATTAAAAACGCTTCTGTAATATTTGCTTTTTAAAGTGTCTACGTGTATTACTTTTTTCAGATGTTTCACAAAACAAGAAGGAAGCACATTTACCATTCCCCCTGGAAAAAAAAACTTCATTTTGAGAAACATTTTTAGTAACTAAATAGATTCTGGACCAATAAAGCTACCTATACTATCGCATTTTTTAAAAAATCCTGAAAGTAATTCACCCAAAGTGATTTTTTCCATAATACAGTTCCAGATTTTGAAGCAGAAGAAAAAGAAAATAAAGCAAACACTTCAATTTGCTGCAGTGGTTTTCTTAAAATAAACGTCCACTTTTACATTCTAACCACCTCATACCCTTTCATTTAAAATCACTAAGTGATTCCAAACTTTATCATTAATAATTGAGCAGCTTTTTAAAACCAGTCATTTTAGTTGCTTCCAAACGTATTAATAATAAAAAAAAAACCATGGAGACAGTTTCATCATCACCAAAAATACTATATTCTGTAATATCACTCGCTTCTCTCCATTCTAACCACAAGACACTTGTAAAAATGTGGCATATATAGAGTCTGTTTCTTAAACACCCTTAAATTGGACTTTATAATCCAGGCAAGAATGAAAGTCTGAAACGTCCCCCAAATTTTGTCGTGAAATGTTAAATCTATACAACAGAATTCTGAGAAGATACCTTAAACACAGCAAAAATGCTTGGAATACTGATAAAACAATAATGATAAAGGTCTGTGCACAAGCAAAACCTTTTCGTCTTCTCTCCATAAAATAAATGTTGAACAGCTTTATTTACAGGAGGGCTCCTAGGCCACAAACCTCCTGATGCTAAATTATTCTCAGTAAGCCCCTTCAAAGAAAGCATAATCTTCCTCCTCCAAAAACCACTCCCCGCTCAAACCGCTGACATTCTTGCAGAAACTTGGATCACATCAGCGGCTCCTCCCGCAAGCCTCCTCCGCCCTCACTGCGTTATCCTCTGCGGGCTTCTTTTTCTTCACCAAGACCAGGAAAGGGGTTCCCTCTCGGCCCGGCCACCCAGACCCTCGCTCGGGCTCCAAGCGGTGGCCAGCCAGCCCACCCTGATTCAGCGCTCCGTGGCGGGCCTCCCTTTGGCTTTCTGTTCCTCCACCCAAGCACGGAATCCAGAGCGAAGGCCAGAGCTCCCGCCCACCCTTATGCCACTAACCCGCGGCCGCTGAGACCCCAGCCAGCCCTCCACCCGCCCCCTCCACCCGCGTACCTGGTGCTCCAGGCCCACTGCAGCCGGTCCACGCCTGCTTCCCCGCCGCAGCCCGGCGCTAAGCCGCAGCCTGGCCCCGGGGGCGGAGTCCTTCCGGGGTCAGGAGTGGGAAGGTGGAGAGAAAGTAGCGAGGGCCTCCTAGCCTTTCTGCGTGAGGGGCTACGTGTGAAGCAGCTCCCGCCATTTTTGTTGAGGGTAGATGCTCCTGCCCTTCCCGATGGCTATGAAATGTACAATGGAAGAACTGCATCCTGTTACAGTGCTGTCAAAAAATAGCATCGCAGTTGTAACCTTTTGAGGGCTTCAGGACCATCCTAGGAATCCGGTGAAAAATATGGGGTATTTTCTCTATATGTCATGTAATTACATTAGTAAAAGAAAATAGCTTGTACATTACCAAGAGAATATATATAATATATACGTTTATTTTGTGTATATATATGGTTAGATACTCCGAACCAATCCATGGCTCCCAGATTAAGAACTTCTACTACAGACCTTCAGCCCCTAAACAAATTAATGTTGAGCATTCCAATCCTGTATTAATGATGTTTTATTTACTTCAGTTCCTCTTTAGCTTTTCTCCAAGTTAGGCAAGGTATTCAACAGCTCTGAGGTTCTGTCTAAAACACATAAATTAATGAGGGGGGAGGGAGAACAACAAAATAACATGCTGGTTTTTTCTTTCTTTTTTTTGCTTAACATGCTGTTTTTATATGCAGTCCTGAGCCCAAACATTTCGTCCAAGTTGAGGATTTAAAAATTCCAATTTCTGAGCATATTTGTGGTGAAAAGCCAAAATAATTTTGCAAGGATTGCTAAAACATGAGAGCACATGTTACTATTCCTATCTAAGAAACAAGAATGAACAGTTATTTCTGGTGGTGTTCAAAATTCCCTTTTAGTGAAATGGAAAATAGGGTGAACAGTAGTACCAATGTGTGACATTATTGTTGTTGTTTAGTGGCTCAGTCGTGCCTGACTTTTTTGCAACCCTGTGGACTGTACTCCGCTAAGCTCCTCTGTCCTTGGGGTTTTCTGGGCAAGATCACTGGAGTGGGTTACCATTTCCTCATCCAGGAGATCTTCCTGACGGGAGTTGGGACGGGAGTCTCCTTGTCTCCCGCATTGCAGGCAGATTCTTTACTGCTAAGCCACTGGGGAAGCCCACGGGTGACATTACTAGATGAATAATAACTAAAATTGTACAGACTGAGTTCTAAGTGAAAATGCATGCGTGGGTGCTAAGTCATTTCAGTCGTACCCAACTCTTTGCAACCCTCTGGACTGTAGTCTGCCAGGCTCCTCTGTCCATGGGATTATCCAGGCAAGAATACTGGAGTGGGTTGCCACGCCATCCTCCAAGAGATCTTCAAGACCCAGGGATCAAACCCCACCTCTCTTTGTCTCCAGCACTGGCAGGCCGATTCTTTACCACTAGCGCCACCTGGGAAGCCCCTATGTAAAAATATTGTGCACTTGGGGAGGGAGGCGGGAGGGGGGGATCGGGATGGGGAACACATGTAAATCCATGGCTGATTCATGTCAATGTATGGCAAAAACCACTACAATATTGTAAAGTAATTAGCCTCCAAATAATAAAAATAAATGAAAAAAAATATTGTGCACTTATAAAGGAAATAGTGCTCTTGACACTTGAAGAACTTGAAATTTGTAAGGCTGTGTTTGTTTATTTTTCCATCTTCTCTCTGCTGCCTCCTTCCTACTTCCCACAACTTTCAAACTTTCAGCCTAATGGGAAGAAGAGTAATAATGATGATGATATGTGTACTCAGTCCTGTTCAACTCTTTGCTATCCCATGAACTGTAGCCCGCCAGGCTCCTCTGTCCATGGAATTTCCCAGGCAAGAATACTAGAGTGGATTGCCATCTCCTACTCCAGAGGATCTTTCAGACTCAGGGATCTAACCCAAGTCT